AATAATTGAGCCGTACGTGTCATTTTGAGGCGCGCCTGTACATATTTTTGTTTCTCGTTAAGGCCGTAAGCATCGGCATTCATTTCGAAGTTGGTAAACCACTGTTGCACTGGTATGCTTTCGCCATCAAAATCCGGAATGATTTTATTGAAATTATCCGCTATCGCTCTGATTTTTCTCATCGACTTGGATTTTAAGCGTCAACAGCTGAACGAGTTGTTGCAACGTTGTATTGTTGTCTGCTATCCCACTTGTTTTCTCTTCGTTTATTCTCGGATTTTCTCGTACACTCGTTGACGTAGCAGCTATTTCCTTTTGCAACACTGAAATGAGTGGCGGCTTCTCGTTGCTTTCCACGATCGCTCGTTCGGCTTCTTGCATGTTACCCTTTGGTACTACATTCATCTTGTTGAAATTATGTGCTGCACGAGTGTTAGGTTTTGCCGTTACAATTTGTTTCACTATACTTTTCAAATTTATCGCTTCTCTTTTAGCTCTTTTTACAGCCGGCTTTTGTTCTTTTTTAAACGGCATGAGTTTTGCGTGTATTCGTGGCGTACCAGATAGACGTTCGATAGTTTTTCTGCTTGTTGCCAACTGTACCTCTTTTTATTGCGCGTTAGAATAAATGCGTCTGCCACTGTATTTCACAATATTTTTACGTCTCTTTACTGCGCGTCTGCTCTGCGTATTATTTAATTAGTTATTCATCGAACTACTTAGCCCGTTAATTGAATATTAGGACCTTTATGCTACGCGGCGGCTTTTTCCGCGGCTTTAATCATAAGTCCTATAAATTCAGCACGTCAATTTAGTATTATTGGGCACACTTTAGCTGCACATCTGCTTTGCTCCGCGTTTCCAATCACGAGTTGTTCCCCAAAATGTAATATTATTCTGACACACTGTAAGCTGCACATATGGTTTCCTCCGCGTTTCCAATCACAAGTTCGAACGGTTGAGCTCCCAAATGTAATAATAGTGTATTTATTATATGTGTATTATAATATATTGATTATGACGTTAATGTGATTTAAAACTAGCGGACAAGGTAAATGTCTTAACAAGAATAGGCGGTAGTGGATACAAGACAACTGCGTACGGCTGTACAACGGCACTTCGACTTCTCACGACTGACTACTGCTGATCATGACCGTTGACGACAACTGCTCACAACTACTTATGACGGTTGACGACTGACTGCTTGAAACTGACTCCTTCCGACGACGGCTGATCACTCACTGCTGATGTCGATCTTCCTCTTCTACTATGCCATTCTCCTGCGTGCGCCTTGCCATTATCACCACTGCCTATCTTACATATATATATATATATATATATATATATATATATATATATATATATATATATATATATATATATATAGCAGCCCGTTTGCAGCATATGCGGCAATATAGCGCTGAGTATCGAACCTCTAAATCAGCAGCTCAACACGCAGCTTTAATTATTAGGATTAGATAGATATATAATATAATATATATAATATATATAATATAATATATAATATATATATATAAAACGGTCTGCTTTATTATGCTTTATTAGGTTTGCGAGAGCTGAAAATGTAACAGGCAGAAGGAGGCTTTGCAGACCCCACAAAGTATATATATTCCTGATCAGCATGACGAGACGAGTCGATCTAGCCCTGTCTGTCTGTCTGTCAGTCTGTCTTGCCGTCTGTCCGTATGAACACCTGGATCTCAGAGACTGTAAGAGGTAGAGACACCAAATTTTGTTCAAAGCTGCGTTATGTGTGTACGCCGTGCAAGTTTGTTTTATTTTTTCTTATTTTCCCCCCACTTCCACCCTATGGGGTTTTCCCGATTTTCCACTCGTATAATCGCCTATATCTCGGGGACTATTAGACCTAGGGACACAAAATTTTAGTCCAAGATGCCTTATGTGAATACGCAGAAACTCCCGTAATTCTTGGAATTTCAAATTTTGCAAATACCCCCTGTTAGTGATTATGTGTCTGTATGTCAAGTTTCAGTATGATAGACCGATTTAACAAGAAGTTATGGCCATAAATATATTTGCTGCCCAAGGGCTGTCCGCAGCTGTTGTTGATGGTGGTGCTTTGGTTGACTGCAAACATGTTCACACAGACACAAATAGGCGCGCATGGACAGTCATACAATCACATAGACGCAAATGCTATGTAAATGTGCAATTATACACCCTTTACGGGAGTTCGAAGACCTAGAGGTAAAATCGATCAACATTTTTTTTTAAATTCTCTTAATTTTTTTTAATTTCTATAATTCTAAACAAATGTACAGAGTATTTCAAAGTCAGGACACCCGACTTAAATTTTTTTTTACTTGTTTTTATTCTAATTTTTTCTTTATTTATCGAATCCTCTCTCGGAGACTTACGATAAGTAGTCAAATCTTAATCTAATATAGGTAATTAATTACATTTAAATATTTAAATTACGGCCCTTACTGTTATTGCTGGGTTGGGAGGTCTCTTAGCCGGAGTCTTGTATGGCTAGCCTGCCAAGTTAATTTCTGCGCAAGTCTATTTGGATGGTTCCGAAGCTTAAGCTGGTACTTTGCTTTCACGTTGGCGATTTCATCTTTAACAGATCCCACATTTAAATCTTTCCGGATTTTTTCACTCCGTATGTACCTGGGTGACCCCAGTGATGGTTCCAGCCGAGCCGTTTGTCGGCAAGCAAGCGTTGTAGGCTAAATACGAACACTGCTACCGCGTTTATGAACGGTGCGCTACTCTGCTCACCATGCAAATACAAAACGCGTCCATCATCAATTCTTCAATTCAGGGGTTGCAGCCTCCCGCCAGTTCACACAGAGGTGTTCACTGGCGATCACCTGAAGTGGCCCACGTTCAGGGATCTCTTCACGTCGGTGTACATCCGCAATCCACGGCTGCCAGAGGTCGAAAAACTGTTTCACCTCAATTCCAAAACTATGGGCGAGGCGAGGGCAATCATTGTCAACAGTCAGCTGAAGGTCCTCGCCAACCTCCAGCTTATTCCTTCGGTGTGTGGCGTAGTCATAAAAGAGCACCATCCAAGGGTGCTTAACGGTTGAGGAGAACGCCAAGATAAGCACCGAAAACTGAGGTTGCATTTTGGTGTTCTTCTGCGCCTCCAGCTACCCTTTCCTTATGGGAGTAATTGGTCCAAGATAAATCGGAAATTTCGAGGGGTCCACTCCTTAGAGACGTCCGCAGACATGTAAACTCTGCTTTTAGGAGAATCACCCAGTGCGCCTCTGTCCGCGCTTCCTCCAAAAGCCCGCCCAGGATGGTGGGCCGCCACAACACATTGTTGCATCGTGTGGCCCCTCCTCCATTCTCGCCCTCGGCAACCGCTCCTCCAAGTCAATACCCATACATACAGTCCACTCCCATGGATAACGTACCTTCTACTTCTCCGAATATCATACAGTCCACTACATCGAACGTCCAGAGCTTCTTCTCCAATATTCAGAGCGTACTCCTAGGCACGCCTGTCGTAAACGTGCACCACTTGGGCATTGTCTACACCGCGCGTGCGCTCATTGATTCAGGTTCCGAGGGAACGTTTATTTCGGAGCGACAAGTCCCTGAGACTGCCGTTTCACAAGGTGCAGGCCCAAATATCGGGACAAAGCTTGTCCATTGATTTGCTCATTGTCGCCGATATTCTGCCCTCTGTCCTGCTGGGCAGCGCTCAACTAAAGGCAGGCAGCTGTCTGCTGGCGCAGGAGACCATTTGTGGATGGATTTTGACGGGCACAGACGCAGCTTTCGAATGCCTTTTCACTCATAACCCCCAAAATTTATCATCGTGAAGTTTGACATTCGCGCTGTTATATATCGCTGTTATTGTGAATTTAATCGAGCTCGTAGTTCGGTCGCCGACGAATTCCGTGAAGGTCGTACAAAATCGTTTATTGTGCCACAAAACATCGATGCAGTGCATGAATTGATAATGCAAGATTTTCATGTGACACTTCGTGAGATAAAGGTATCCTTAAGCATTAGTATTACAACGGAAGTGGATTGTAAAAATAATTGTAAAAATAAATGCTTAAAAAGTTTGATCGTGGTGCTTCAAACATTTTGAATAAAATCGTAACAGGTGACGAATCATGGATATATGCGTATGATCTGGAAACAAAACAGCAACTGATCGTGTGGGTGTTCCAAGACCAGCAAAATCCAACAAAAGTGGTTCGCGCTCGAAGCATTACGAGCAAATGGTCGCCTGTTTCTCCGGCCGAATGGATCATGTGGCCACTGTTCCACTTGATCAACGTAGGACGATCCATTCCGTGGTACACGACCATCGGAATTCTTCAGAAAAATTCGCAAAACCAACCGCCAAAGATGAATTATTCGCAATCATACTAGCTCTCTTGTCAAATATGTGAATTTTTGAGCAGTCAAAACATCGAAATGATGACTCATCCTCCGTACAGTCCTGATTTCGCACCCAATGACTTTTTCTTGTTTCCGAAAATCAATGGTAAACTGTGTGGTCAACGATTTACAAGCACCGAAGAAGCAGCTGAAGTGTTCAAAAACCAAATTTATATTATTTTATATAAATTATTAAAACTGCTGTGCTTCTATTTAGCTCTAGTTTGCAACTAAACTTCAAATTCGGCTTAACGGCCGCTCTCTCTCTCTTTTCGCCCTAAACTAAAATTCAAATATTTCTCTTAAACTATCCTAATCTAGACCAGCATCTGCGCCAACACCATGTTTTAGAACTGCCTCAAGAGGAATGGACAAGCTGCTACAACAAATGGTTTAAACGAATGCAAAAGTGCATTGATTATCATGGTCAATATCTTAAAAAACAATAAAATCGTTTTCATTTAAAAATTTTTTTTATATAAATAGTGCCCTTATGTACATATGACCACACACAGTACACTATATGCCCTAGTTCTCGGGCAAAACATGCTAGTAATATAATATTTATTTATTATCTTCGCTATTGACATGCAATTTCTTTTTAGGTTTCCAATGGTTGATGGGAGATTACCAGAAGACCCAAATAAAATTGCCTGGTGGAAAAAAAATATACGGAGAGATTATTTAGTATTTAACTTTCAAAATATTGCTATTACCTGGAAAAGCCACTTGCGTATAGTTGCAGATGAGATACAAATATTTTATGCTGTAAGTATGCTGGATCCTGGGTATTTTATACATGTCATTGTAGCGTATGTTGAAGTTTAACTGTTTTTACCACATTTTGATTACAAACAAGTGGAGAAGCTAATGTCGGGTGACTCTCACCACGACTTTTCACTTTTCGTGGGTAAAGTACACTGCGCGACAACCGATTAGCATACTCTTTAACCTTTCAGTGCAAATGCAAATAACTCAGTACTCTAAATATGTATCATGCTCAATATTTTTTTCTTTCATTCTTCTTTATTTACATTTCTGAGAAATCAACTGTTATGCTCTGGAAGTGTACCGTTAGTTTGCTTTGCTGTTTTCTTTGAAGCGACAGAAAAAATGCATGGTTTTTCTGCGACAGTCGATTAGCACACTTACGCTTCAGTGTTAATTTTTGCGAGTGCGTTGTCGTATTTGGCTTATTAAAGTTTTTGTTCAATAAAGTTAACCAATTTTCAATTAAATTGAGTTAATATGGGGAAGGTAAACCATTTAATGATACGGAAAAGGCAAAAATAAAGACATATAAAGAGTATGGGCAACAAAAACAACCTCTAAACCAGCACCGAAAGGCTCAACGGCTCGATTTCTGCAGCTCGAATATGACCTGGACCAAGGAATGGGAGCGTGTTGTCTTTTCAGATGAAAAAAATTTAATTTGGAGGGTCCAGGTGGCTATGCTTACTACTTTCATGATCTAAGAACGGAAGAACGGAACGCCGTGCCGGTGGTGTAATGATATGGGGAGCAGTTACGTACTATGGGACCATAAAACTGAAATTTCTTACAAGTCGTATGAATGCCACAGCATACACTGATGTATTGAAAAGGAAAAGCTGTTCCCTGCAATCAATGATATTTTTGGGTCCTTGGATTGGAAGTTCCAGCGTGGGTGACCATTTCACTAAATTATTTAAAGAAATTCTCTACCCAACAGGATGTATGAAGTCATAGTTAACCATGGTGGCTCAACCCATTATTAATTCTTCTTAAATAAGTTAATAACTTTCTTATGTTATTCGATATTTATATTTATTTGCTGTGCTAATCAAATGTCGGAAAAATAAAAGCAAATTTTGGGTATTAAATTTGTTAAAATTCTTAAAATATTATTTATAAAGCTAATACAATAACTATTACAAGCTTTATAAGATTAGCTGATATTAAGCTTCAAAACGAAGAAGCATAGAGTGTGCTAATCGGTTGTCGCGCAGTGTACATTCATTTTTTTTAATTTTCTTAATTTTTATTGCCTGTACCCAAAGGGTGAAAGGCTATACTAGTTTTGTGCGCATGTATGTAACACACAGAAGGAGGCGTGGCAGACCCCACAAAGTATATATTATTGATCAGGATGACAAGACGAGTCGATATAGCCATGTCCGTCTGTCCATCCGTCTGTATGAGCGCAGAATCTCAGGAAGTACAAGAGCTAGAATAACCAAACTTGGTATCGAGGTCAAATTTATTTTTTTATTCTGATACACCCCCCACTCCCCCGCAATTCGTGTTTTTGTTTATAAATTTCGTAATTCTTTGAATTTTGAAATTAATTTTGGTATGTACATCCAGCTAGTACTAATGTGTCCGTGTGCCATCATGATAGGTCAATTGTGAACAAAGTTATAGCCATAAATAAAATCACTGCTCATGCGCTGCCTGCAGCTCGGCCGGCAGCGCTGCCCGCAGCTGTTGTTGTGGTTGCTGCTGCTTTGGATCAACTGTGTGCTGCATACATACACTCATATAAACACGAATAGGCACGTGATGTAAATGTATGCTGTTAAAACTGAACAAAAACATGTCTTCTAATATACTTTAATTACTTAATTAATTAATTCATTTTTTTAATAATTTAATTTTTTTTAATTTTTTTTTTTTTAATTTTCTTTTTTTGTGGAGAGTACAGGCTATTTTACTGTAGCGTAGCGTTCTCTCTGTAGCGTTCTCTCTGGTTTTTATTTTCTATAATTATTGTAAACATATGTACAGAGTATTTCCAAGTCGGGACACCCGACTTTAGCTTTTTTACTTGTTTATTGTTCTTGTTTTTGGTTTTATATAGACACACTTTAATACTACTGTTACTATTTACAATAACTTAAATAAAACATAAAGCTACAATTACAGCTTAAACTAGCTTAGTCGTATTTACAATTTTATATTTGGAGGAGGAGATTGACGTCGCTGTATGCATTGCCCGGAGTAGATTAAGTGAACCTTTTGTATACTGTATACATGAAATGTGCAACGTACTTATATTAGGTTTGCGGGACGTGAAAAATGTAACACGCAGAAGGAGGCGTGGCAGAGTCCACAAAGAATGTATATTCTTGATCAGCATGATAAGACGAGTCGATCTAGCCCTGTCTGTCCATCTGTCTGTCTGTCTGTCCGCATGAACACCTGGATCTCAGAGACTATAAGACCTAGGGACACCAAATCTTAGTCCAAGCACTATGTGAATACGCAGAAAATGTGGTTTTTGGAAATTCCCTCCATCCCCCTCACCACCGCATTTCGTGATTTTTCATAACTCCCGTAAATCTTGGAATTTTTGACTCCATTCGGCAAATCCATTCTCTTAGTGATTATGTGTCCGTATACCAAGTTTCATTGTGATAGGCCGATTAAGCTGGAAGTTATATCCATAAATACAAAATTTGGCCGCAGCTGAAATTTTTCCAATGCTCTCTTGGTCCTTTATTAATTCGGCATCGTTTGCAATATTGAATCTTAGTGTAGTACTTTTTATACTCTGTACATGGAATGTACAGGAGTATATTAGGTATGCGCGAGCTGAAAAATGTAACAGGTAGAAGGAGGCGTGGCAGACCCCACAAAGTATATATATTCTTGATCAGCGTGACAAGACCAGTCGATCTAGCCTTTTCTGTCTGTCTGTCCGTCCGTATGAACACCTGGATCTCAGAGACTATAAGAGCTAGAGACACCAAATTTTGCAAAAAGGTGCCTTATGTGTGAACGCTATGCAAGCTTGTTTTATTTTTTTTAATTTCCCTCATGTTTTCCCGATTTTCCATTCGTATAATCGCCTATATCTCGGAGACTATAAGACCTTGGAACACCAAATTTTAGTCCGCCTTATGTGAATATAGCGTACACACATGTCTCTATCTCTTATATTCTACCCATGTACATTTTATGTACAGAGTATAACAAATAAAATAATAAAATAAAAATGAAAAATAATAAAATGTATAAATACATAGTTGAAAACACAGAAAATGGCTCATAGAGTCGTATGGGGGGTAGGAGTGGGCGTGGTCCAATCTACCTATTAATTTCTAATAACGTCAATATTATATGTGCCAATTTTGCGGAGTTTATTTCAAAAACGGCATTTGGGACCATAGTGCAATGAAGGAAGATTAATAAGCAGAATTCTGTTTGAGTAAGATGGTAAAACGAATGTTGGGATCCCGGTTTAAACCACAAAGAGCAAAAAGGAGGAATTTTTTCTGAACAGACTCAATTCGATCCTGATGCGTTTTGTAAAAACGCATGAGCAGTCTTTTAGAATTGGCCGTACCAGTGAACTGTAAAATAATTTAGTGGTGTAGGGATCATCCTTGTTTATGATAGAAGAAATATGAAGATTGAAGTTCAATTTTAAATCAAAAACTACTTCAAGATCTTCGACAGATATGCCGATGCTATGCCGAGCTATGCCCCTACTCACAGCCTTGATTGCACTCTGGTCTCAAGGCGCTCACACTCAGTGTGAAATATCAGAAATATCAGTACCAGTTACCACTATGGAAACGCAGAAAAAACAGCTGCACGCAGGCATTCCATCATAAAAATATCACACATATTTTCATATATCTGCCTGACACTAACGAGCGCCCGGCTCTGCAGGCAGGTTTGTACGACTCTCTGCTGTCGGCAGCGGCCGACGAATACCCGCGGCAACATTTCTTATGGATAGCAGCGGGTAGTGAGCACAATTTAAGAAACTTGGTATTAATACAAAATATTCGCAAGAGCTTTAAAAAATCGTGTTGCTTTCTATCGGCCTGTTTGCTGCAACTGTCGTAAGTCCAGCTTTTCGGTCGTATGGTAGGTTTTAGACTGCTGCATGAATGGCAAAAAAAAAACACATTCGAACGTACAACAGTCTCACTCAGTCGAAACGTAGAAAAACGAATTGAGTGGAGTGAGAATACGAAAATTGTAGACGTACTTCTCAAATGATTCGAATAAAAAACCAGTAAAGAAGAAAGAACAAGAAAAGAATGCTAAAGTCGAGCGAGCTCAACTCTTAAATACCCTGTACCTCCCAAAAAATATATATTAATTAAATTATTTAATTAAATTAAAGACATGTTCATGTACAGTTTCACCAGTATCAGATTTAAAAAAAACTTGACCTGCCTAGGTCTTAGGGGAACCTGGATACCAAGTTTGGTAATTCTAGCTCTTGTACCTTCTGAGAACCTTGCGCTCATACCGACGGACGGACAGACGGACATGACTATATCGCCTTGTCTTGTCATCTTGATCAATAATATATATACTTTGTGGGGTCTGCCACGCCTCCTTCTGTGTGTTACATACATGCGCACAAAACTAGTATAGCCTTTAACCCTTTGGGTCAGGCTATAAAAACTGTTGTCAATAAAATGGTTGCTATTTATATTTTCATTTGTATTTATTTTACTTATTACTAACATAACAACATATTTATTGTATATTATTATAGCCTGTACCAAAAGGGTAAAAGGCTATGGCCGCGAGCAGCGCTTGGGCAGCGCTGCAGCAGCAAATATATTTATGGATATAACTTCTTGTTAAATCGGTCTATCATAGTGAAACTCGGCATACGGACACATAATAACTAACTGGGGGCATTTGCATTTTAGTTCGAAATTCCAAGAATTACGGGAGTTAGAGAAAATCGTATTTGCGGGAGAGAGGGGGGAGGGAGGGAAATTCCAAAATATACATTTTCTGCGTATTCACACAAGGCA